AAAACTGCTGGAGGGGGCACACAACAAGGCAACTGAACCGCCCAATCATACAGATGAAGAAAACAACGATGTGACCATCCCTGATCCTACTGCTGGAGGAGCCAAGGCGAAGACTGGGTCTTCCCCTTCCTAAAGTCTCATGTCATTTGCTTCTAGTAAAATAGGAACTACCCCCCCCCCCCCTTTTCCTACAAGCCATCTTGGATATATATATATATATATATATATATATATATATATATATATATATATATATATATATATAAACCTAGGTTATTTTGTTTTATTGTGTTCCCGTAAAGCACAAATGTGGACCGCCGGAGGAAATAGAATCATAATTTATGATCTGAGAGTCTATGATACTATAATAGGGTAACATGCACCATATAATCACTCAAATTTCAGCATTAGGGTATTTTTGTCAATTAACCTATATTAAACAAGGAAAAATTTGGATTTTAAGGGATAATTAATTCACTTATTTTTAAAAATCTGAATTTTTTAAATTAATTCAAATTTAATTTTAATATAATTTTTAATAATAACTGGTTTTATTTCATCAGAATAACAAAGTTAACCATAAACTAGGAAATATATTCTCGATTTTATTCTTGTGGAATATGGTTTCATTCAAGATTTTTTTTATATTTAATATGCTTAAAGAATTATACCACATATTATCAAGATTAACATTAATTCATAAAGAATAAGACTATAAATAATTATTACATTCATTCCAAAAAAAAAAAAATATGACTAATAACGGTTTGAGAATTACATTATCTTAAAGATTAAAACTAAGAATGGTTAAAAAAGCAAAAAAAAAAAAACATTAAAATATAACAAAAACACTAATCAATTATGAGAGAATATTATTCTTAAGCAGCACTTTACACGTTATGACAAAATACATTTTGCTAAAATACATGTTTGTTCTTCAATAGTCCAGATAATCCACTTGATTCAAGCTATTCTTACAAAAAAGTGATCTATTTTCGTAAGAATGTAATTCTTTCCATATATACTTGTTATTGAACTCAATTCCAAATTTTCATCTGGTATGATCAATATTGAATTCCTTCTCAATTTCATTCTTAATGAATAAGATACATTACTCGTTAGTATTACCATTTAAACAAATATGTTTGTTGTTAACCAACATTCTCAAAAAAATTCTAACAGAATGTGTTTATATAAATAAAATTTGACAGAATACATTATATAATGCACTTAAATCATAGTCTTTTCTTCTATATGTATAAACATTTTAAAGCATGTATATATGTATTATATTAGAATTACTAGCAACACATGTTTTATGTAATATTTATATTATCATAGAATGAATAGGTGTTTGCATTCTAATATGAAAAAAAACCCTTAACCCTTTTCATGCAAATTCTGACAGAATGTAAGCTTAACCCTTTTCATCAAAGACAAATTTAGACCAATAAGTTATCTAGAGCACTGAAGAAATTAGGGCTGATAAAGGTCCAATGAAGAAATAGACAATGCAAAGACAATGAGATTTTGGTTCCCAACACATATACAATGAGATTTTGGTAATTGATAATAAAGTAAAAACAATAATAAAAAAATAGACAAAACAAGATTGAAACACAAAACTGTTAATTATTCACTTTAAAAAAATTTTGAACCCAAAATGAACAAACACAACAATAATTTAACTCAATGATTATTAGACAAACTGTTTAATCCAATTTCATCCAAAGAATTGTAAAATATATTTCGAACTTGCACATAGATACATATGAAGTTGTAGAAAATTTAAAGAATGAAAAAACTCACAAAAGTTCTCATCATCTCAGGAGCAACAAGTAGAAAAGAAACGACACCGAACAAGAGAGTTTTTCGAGCCTTAGAAATTTTGCACCTATGGGAAATTGTTTGGTAGCCAAGCACTGTTAAAACCCCTTGTTCTCCGATCCATAAAGTTGGTGGTTATATGGTAGTATGGGGTGGTGCTACTGCTCTGGTGGTGTCGAAATAAGGAGATGAGAAGGGTTTTCGGATCTGTGAAGAGAGAACGAGATGATGGTGGTTCTAGAAGATGATTTTTAGAGAAATAGGGGGAATCGGTCGTGGTGTTATAGGTTTATGAAACTGATAACCTAAATTAACGGGATATTAATTGCTTTTGTTTTCTTTTACCCTAATTAATTATTATGTAGATTACTCTTATAACCTTCTGTTATTTATTAATGATTTAATTATTTTCTGAATTCTTATTGGTGCATACATGCACATAATAGTTGCTAGAAACATTTGAACGTGCATCTCTCTTTCTCTCTCTCTCTCTCTCTCTCTCTCTCCATATATATATATATATATATATATATATATATATAAGTTGTGTCGAGTGGGTACTCAAAAATAAGTGAGGACTATGATGACAAATTTTTTCCGCATGATGGAAAAAAATACAAGATAGAAATTTGATTTTATTTATTATCAATATCTTGTGAGATAATGTGGATAAAAAGAAAGAGGGAATAAAATATGGGGGGCGTGTCCATTTATACGTACTTTATTTTCTACCATATTTTTTTTTTCAAAAAAAATCTGAAAAAACCAAAGTTCTTGAAATTTAATTCTCTATAAAATGAGTAAAGTCATGAAAACTAAAAAAACTATTTTTATATATTTTTTAATAAAAAAACCTAAATTTTTTTTCAACAAATCATAAACATTTAAGAAATATATCTACTCAATATACTAGTGAATTTATAAAAAAAAAAAAAAAAAAAAAAAAAAAAAAAAAAAAAAAATCAAAAATAGGTTTTTTGAAGTATATATTTTTAATTTTAAAAAAAATATTAGTTTTAAAAAATTATTGAAAATAGTATGATTCAAAATGTGATGATTCAAACTATTAATGATTAAAAAAACCTTTGATTTAACTTGTTTTTTTATCCTTAATTTGTTATACTCTAAAAATATATAGACTCAAATATTTTATAATCTTTAATTACATATTTTATGATTCAAAATATATAATAATTCAATTTTTTTGAACAAAAACATTATTTAGTTGAATATATTATTAATCTAAAATCATATGATTCAAAATAATTTGAATCAAAATTTTATGATCCAAAAATAATATGATTAAAAAAATATGACTGGAAAATATTATGATTGTTAATATTCTTTTTTATTTGTAATTTTATAATTGTTAAACATTAAAAAGTCAAACTGATATTTATTTTGAAAAACAAAAAATCAAAAATAAAAAATAAACAAAAACAATTATATCTTCAAATATATAGTAAAGATATACAAAAAAAAACTATTTTTTCAAAAACGAAAAAACAAAAGCAAAAAAAAAAAAAAAAAAAAAAGAGAAAATATAAGAAAACAGAAAAAAATTAATAATAATAATGCATTAAAACTAAGTATATATCTACTTCATTTCTTTAAAATAGTAAAAATAAATGAAAATAAATAATAAAACTCGCTTAAAAGACATTTCATGGAAGTTCGTTGCATGTGATTAATTCTTCGAGTCCGTGTTAATTACAACGAATGTGACTCGTATGTGAATGCACCATATCTAAGTATTGTGTTTGATGTTTGTATCATTAACAAAATGGATAGTGGAGAATAGTACCGGTAGTTCCTCAATATTTTTTGAGTCATCACCAGTGTGTATATATATATATATATATATATATATATATATATATATATATATATATATATATATATATATATATATATATATATATATATATATATATATACACTAGCCGTTTACCCATGCAAAGCGGCGGACGACAAATAGTTTGTTTCGACAATTAATTTCTTTTCGATAGAGAATGATTATTTTCAATTCAATCATTAGTTTGTTTTAGAAAATATGTGATATTAAAAATAAAGAAAATTCATAAAATGACCAAATTATAGGGTGTTGAGTATTTATTTGAGTGAAAAAAGATATGGTCAAAACCTTGGAAGAGAAGATTTATAGGAGTTTGTTTAAATTTTAATATTATTTTATTAGTGATTAGTTGTACAATTAGCTTAATGATTTGGACGTCTTAAAAAAATATTATTATTTTATTCAATCTATTTTAAGAAATAGTAGGATTTGTTTTATAAGATAGTGTGTATATATATATATATATATATATATATATATATATATATATATATATATATATATATATATATATATATATATATATATTAATGTTCATTTGAGACCATGCTAATTTTATAAGACCGTGAGATCAAATCTAAAAGTAATTTTAAAATACAAAATAAAAGGAAAATTTCAAATATTATTTTTTTAATTATTATTTTCGAAACATTAATTACCTAAAAAAATAAAAATTATAAAAATAATAAAAAAATTACTGTTTTTTTTAAATACGTAAAATATTCTAATAGAATATTATACTGTAAATATTCTAATATGATTTAAAAAATATTAGTGTATTATAATAAAATTCTCAGATATGCAAAATATTTTATTATTCTACTAGAATATGAATGTGTTTTTTTTTTGGAAAATATAAATTCCGAAAATAATATTTGAAAAAAAATAAAAAATTTTCAATTTATTTGCATTTTAAAAATGTTTTTTTGTTTTATCTACCAAATGAATGGTTCGTCTCAAAGTCTCATAAAATTAAGTCGTCTCAGATTTATATATATATATATATATATATATATATATATATATATATATATATATATATATATATATATATATATATATATATATATATATATATATATATATATGTGTGTGTGTGTGTGTGCACTGTTTCCGTGGTTAGCTAGGAGAAGTTTGCGGAGTTTGTCCCTCACAAGTATTTGGGAGGTAAGAGAGATATAGAAGGAAGAAAAACAAGAGACACGAAAAGGAGAAAGGGAGGCTAACCATTTCTCCTTTCATATTACCGTCTTCATACATTGCATGTTCTTCAAAGCAAACATTTCTCGGCTTGATGATGTTAATGATCTTCTCTCATTTAATGATGATGCCGAGAATGAAACTATCATTATCAGGTATTCTTATTTTACTTCTGTGTCTTTCGCATGAATGCACTGCTCGACATCTTAGTAGCATTGATAGTTTGGCCATGGATGATAATGCAAAGCTTCTCAGCCATCCCACCGTCAAGGTCTACTTACCTTGACATCTCTTTCTTCTTCTTTGATCATAATTAATGTTAATTGTCGTTTTCCTTAACGTTATTTTTTAACTCTTTTAGGGTTTTGCGAACGATCTACTCACAGTTCCTGATAATTTGAACCTCAAAACGACGGAAAACAGAAAGGATCAGAGCAGTAAGTTTGATAATGATCATCACAAGAAAACAGATTCCAAATCACAGCACAAGAAAGACGTGAACAACGACCAAAAGTTAAAGAAGGTTCAAGAAGAACTGGTTATTCATCATCATCATCAACATCAACCTAAGTCACGTACTACTGTCACTTTTAGAGTCCCTCCTAGAAACAAGCGGATACATCAGCAACCTGGTTTTAATCTTGATTATTCTCCTCCGAAGACACACCCTCCCAGTCACAACTAAGAAAGGTTGTTGCATGCTTTCGTGTTACTTTCCTTATCTTATAAACTACAAAAGGGAAAAGAGGAGTTTTCTTCTGTTTAAATCTCAGAGGATACATATATATGATATTAGTAGCGAAGTTATCAATCTGAAAATATGTTTTTATTTAGGGTTTTAGGTTTTGAGTGAGCTTCTTCATATTAGCAATCGTCGTGTTCCTTATCAATATATACTAGCTTTGCTGGAAAGTATCAACCTAAAAACCTTTACAGGAAAAGAAAAAAAGTGAGCTCAATATATCTATATTAAGGGCAAGTCTTTTCTTAAATGCACATGTATGAGTTTTGGAGAAATTTTGAAACATATTATATGATAATTATAATTATATGAATCTTGTTCTGCTTGTTCTTTTTTCTTATATTGATTTTCAAAGAGATGGGAAACTATATCTGGGAGGAGCAATATTTGCATCACACCGGTTTAACAATCACTTTTAAAAGTTAATGATATTTGAGAGGTAAAAGAAATGGAACCCCAGTTTAGTTCATTACTCCTTTGTGCATTCTTTTCCCTCATATATGACCCATTTGGTTTTTCTGCCGATTTGCCTTTAATTCCTCATTATCTTATTTCATATATCTTTATATTTAAACATGGTTTTGACTTAATTAACTATACAAAATAAACTAAATAAGTAAACAAACATAATATAACAGATTAAAAATGGTGAAAACCTATGACATTGCAAGCGTCCCCTATTTTAATTCAAGGGTCAAAATGAAAGTCAACTTGAAACGTAACCTTGTTTAGTTTAGTTAGTTTGATGGGAAAAAGTACAACATTTACATCTAAGCATTCATTAAAATTCCCAAAACATTGGATCAAACCCCATTTTTCATGTTTTTTACTAATAAAAGTGGAAACCATCCACTGAAGTTCCCAAGATTGCCTGCCATCTTTCAACTCCAAAGCTTTGAAACGAGAGCATGTCTCTTTGTGTTTTCTATACACACATTCTCCTATACCAAAGCATGATCTTCACTCATTTTCATGTCTCAAATACTTACTTGATCACCCACATCAAAACACGAGTAAAAAGATGATCAACTTTCTATATGGTTTTTATTCATTAAGATATTATTAGCATTCAGTGACCGAGTTAGAAATTTTTATATGGGATGCAAACATTATCAATAAATATTCTATGTAGTTATTATCAAGGTTCTAAATAGCGTGAGGCGTGGCGTGACAGCAAGGCCAAACCTCAAGCTTAACGAACCATGGCGAGCCATGACGCGCCTTTTAGAACACTGGTTATCATATTCGGAACATATGATATAATCTCTTTAGCTAGGGATACAATAACATAGAACATGTTTACAAATAATTTTTTTAATGATTTTTTTTATTAATAAAACAATTTTTTTGGGGGTGTTGTAATACCCCTAACGTCCCATCTAGCTCTGTCACTACTAGTATGTTAGTCATCAAACGTTAAAACTTTTAGTTTTTTTTTTAAATAACTTAAAAAAGAAAAAAATTTATGTTTGATGGTATCTACGAACTTATAACTATTAAAAAAAACTGATAATAGGAAAGTTAATTAAAGGGATAATGACTTGACAAGATTACAAAATTTCGATTTTGTTCACATTTAGTCACTAATCTTTTTTTTCATTATTAATTTGTTACGAACTATTGAAACTGTTCACATTTTACCTTTATGACCGGTTGTTACTGGTCATAAGGGTAAAATATGAACAGTTTCAATAGTTCTGTGACAAATAGATAATAAAACAACATTTAATGACTAAATGTGAACAAATTCGAAAGTTCATTTTCCTCTAAGAAAGTTCAATGACTAAATATGAACACATTTCATCTTATATTTTGTTTTAGCAAATTATTTATTTTTACTAGATTCTAGCAACATTTTTTAATGAAAAATCTGTTAAATAAAAAAACAAAACCCCGAAAAATATATTAAAAAAAACGAACCAAAACCGAAATCAAAATCCAATGTTTTGGTATTTTCCAAAATAAACAAAAATCAAAATTTCCAATCTAATTTTGGTTTAACAAAAAAAAATGATTCATTCTCACAAATACTATTAAAAAATTGTGTTTCATGATCAGAAATTACATTGTATTCTGAAAAAAAATTAAAAACATTATTTTTTAGAATAGTTATTTAAATATGAATTGTTGTTTCTAAAACCTTTTAAAATTATGAGTAATGTTTTTGAAAGAAAAAAAATAGCACCATTTTAATTGTTGAATATATAACTATTTTTTTTTAAAAAAAAATATGTTTTTGTAAAGATAATATGGATGAGGTGATGTGGGCGCAACACTTCATAAAGCATGTTAGCAGTTTTATTTAACTCTATAAGTCTAGTTAAATAATCATAAATTTCAATAATTATTCTGTAACACCCTGTTTATTTATTAGATAAATAAATAAATTAACGAACGAATAGAAGCCCTAAAATAAATAATTATATAGCAAGGTGTTGGTTTCGAGAATCAAACGATATAATTTAGACTTTCGGGGGTTAAAAGGGTAATTTTAAGACTTATGTTGAATAGATTTTGGAGGCTTAGGGGCTGAATGGTAATTTATGGGCCTTAATTGAGAAGAATGAGAGGAGGAGGGACATAAATCATTAATATGGTTGATGTTTGGAGATTGGACAAGAGTTTATAACCGTCACCTTCCACTCTTAAACCCTAATCCTAAATGGAAGTTGCAGGTGCCATCTCCATCTCTATGCTTTTCTCACCGCACCACCGTCCCCTCCATAGATGCGACTACGAACCGCCGAATCACTGTCACACCCCCAAACTAGAACAACGGAATCCTTCGAGGGTGGATGACTTCATGTAGTATCGTAACAATTGAATACATAGTAAAGAAAGCAATACAACCATCACATATATAATTTAAAAGTTTACATTGTTGAAAGGTACTTGTTTCAAAAGAAATTACAATATGATGATTTAAAATGAAATTAAACTAACACCGCAACGTCCCTTCTTCAATAACTGCATTTTACCTATATTACTGAATCCCTGAGAAATACAAGTGGTTTTGAAAGTGTTGGTCAGCATTTAAGCTGGTGAGTTCATAAGTATTTAGTGACAATGTATATATGAAAAATAATGAAAATAGTTTGTTTACGTTAAATGTTCCAAGAAAAATATCATATTTTCTGCATAGTAGATGGTAGTTTGATTGTTCCAAAACTGTAGTGCAATAGTGTTTTTTATGCCTAAAATAGTAGTTTTATGTGCAAATCATTAAGGCATTTGAAAAACCCCGTAAATCAATGTGTTTTTAATACTCCATGCGAGTCTTATAACCATGCTATGTGACCAGGATGTCTTTAACAAGGTTCTTCAGGCGTTGGAAAGTTATGACGTTTGTTACCCCAGGCTTGCCAGCCTACCTGTAGCTAACAGCTTAGGTGTGGGATTTATCAATCCCGTATAGATCTATACACAAGTATCACGCTCCCCCTACAAGGGATTATAACATATAATACAGGACTTAAAATGCATACTCGAAAGTACGTGAAATGTCTCACAAAACTTAGTATAAAACAGATTTACGTGTGAAAATGTCCATTTGTTCGTGTATATAAAAGTATTTCCTTGATATAGTATTAGTTAGTATTTAAATGTTTATGACTTTCTCATAAACTATACCTATTATAGTTTCTCAAAATGTGTGTTTCGTTTGTATAGTAAACCCTAGTGTAATGCTAACTTGTTATGAAAAGTATAACTTCTGTAGTGCCATAGATGAACACATATGCTTAAAGTATAAACATAGTATTTGATTTGTATATATATAACCACATATTTCATTTCAAAAGACAAGATGTTATAGTGATATATTTTGCATGCGAAAGTTTTTATACAGTAGTTATAAATCACATATGATTCACTTGATAAAAGTGTATAATGAAACTTTTATGTAACACACGATAATAACCGTGTTTTTTACTTGTATTTCTCCCCTTAAAAGCGTATAAAAGCATTTATAAAACATTTAAAAGTGTAGATTATAGGGGTATGAACTCACTTGGTTGATTGAAGAAAGTGAATTGAAAATTGAGCAGAACTTCGGCTTGTGAAAGTCGATTTTCTGGGGTTTTTCGGGAATCTCGGGAATGCAAAACCTTCCTTCGGGACTTGTACGCGAAAACTAGGGATTCGGGAGGGTCTCAGGGGCTTAGAAGCAGAGTTTCAACACAAGGGACGAGAGAATTGAGCACTAGAACTCGAAATCATCGGTTTCTATATATAGGCTGAGTTTTGGGGTCTCACGTCGTGAATGTTGAGTGTCTCACGTCGTGAGGCCTAGTAGCCTGATCCTCTTCGAAGATGGGGACATGGCTGGTACTCTGGAACACATCAATCACAAACTCACATTGTGAGCATGGTCCCCTCACGTCGTGAGACTGAGTTAGCCTCGGATTTTGTGTCCCGAACTTGTAAAATCCGTAACTTTTGCATACGAGTTCCAATTTCAACGTTCTTTATATGTATGTGTAGGTGTGAAAAGGCTCTACAACTATCGTTTAGACTTCGTCAGCTAGTTTTGGTTTTATTTTTATTATATCATTTTTAACGGGCCGGGACACGAAAAGTCCGAAAAAAACCCATAACTTCTTCATCCGATGTCCGTTTTCGTCAGACTTTTCACCGTTGCGCTACTATTGTTGGGACCTTCGATTATCATTTAGGTTGTTTCGGCCAAAAGCCTCTTGATCTCTATTTCGAGTTTTTGGTTGTCTACTGCTATATCTAGATCTTGGAAAAATCATAACTTCCTCATACGAAGTCAGATTTGGACGTTCTTTTCATGTACCTTTACGGTTTAATGATATGTACAACATTCGTTTAGATACTTAAGGCTAAAAAACTATTGTATTGAAACTTCGCGTTTTTCGTTTAATCGGTGTTGCTGGTTTTGTCGGAAATCTTAGAATGGTCATAACTTCTTCGTTATAACTCGGATTTTAGTGTTTTTAGTATTTCCGTAAACCTTGACACAATATCTAATAGAGTAGGTAAACCAATAGAGACTTTTGCACATTTTATTTTCAAAGTTAATTTCATTATTTCAAAAGTGTTTACAATACTTGGCTTTTTAAGTCATTACATAGGATCGAAATATCGGGTTGTCACAATCACCCTCAACCTACCGAGTGTGTGCATCACCTGAAGGTTGCATCGGAAATAGA